GCAGCGGGCCCCTCCGGGCGCTCGGCTCTCTCGAGCTGTGCTGGAGCCTCTGCTGAAATCCTGCTGCTCGCTTTGGTTTTCCGGACGTGTGGGACAATAAATGCGGTTGTTTGTGCAAGTTTTTCAGCAAAACAGTTGCTGTAAAACCCAGTTTAATCACCGTCATCGCCGCCGTGTCCAGGTGCCCCGTGTCCTTTCCAGTGAAGCTGCGAAGGGCTGGTCACTTCTGTGACTCTGCTTAAAAAATGGGAGATTGGTGTTCTTACTGACACGGCTCTTCTGTAGTCTATGCTTAAAAATCTCGTAAGGAAAGCTTTTTTTTCTTCTAGAATTAAAGCATTAAGATCTTCTTACACTGTAAGGCAGGTGTTTCTTGGAGACTTTCTGGGCCAAGTGAAATCTCGAGAAAACTCTCTAGTATCTTCTAGATTTAGTCTTGTTTTATAGCTATAGTGCCAAGCAGTATTAATAGGCTTACAGTGAACATGATTTTTTTACCTTGACTTGCCTATTAAGATGAGGCAGCTCGGAGAGTTGTCAGTCTTGGTTTCAGAACAGGCTACTTTGAACGGGCAGTGCCACTATTAAACCTGCTGTTGAGTAAAAGCTCACTTCAGATCTAGGTGGTAGTTCTAATTTTTTCTGCATGGTTTTTGCAGCAAAAAACCCCTTTACTACCTTCTAGTGCCACCAAGTGGACATCTTTACTTGCCAATAAAAGCTTTCTTAAAATTCTTTTTATTTCAACAGTTATGTTGAACTTTTATGGATGTTTATTGCTAAGTGATGCTTCTTCACATGCTGAAGTATTTTCTTCTGAAACAAACAAAATATTTCAAGCATCATAGCGTGTATTGTTTTAATTGCTTACCTCGTGCCTTGTTGAAGAGTGCCATTTGACAGTAGTAGAACCCGACATTCCTCATTCTCCATGAGGATATTGCATGCTTCCATGCGTACTTTTCTGCCTTTGTTAATAACTTCACCTGGGAAAAATCAGCATGGGAAGTAGTAGTTGAAAACCTAGCGGTCTGCTCACTCCTCGATTATTTTTCCCCCATCAAAGCCATACAATGGACTATATAGAAAGTTATGAGAGCAGAGCAGCATGGGCAAGCTTGTTAAGAGGATCAACATAGAAGAACACTTCTGATTTGAAATGGAGTTTTCCACATTTGCTGTATTAGACCGCTCGCCAAATCCTATGCACACTAGAGCCTGGCCTCAAAATTTGGAAACGAATGGAGCAAGGTCAAAAGTCTAGATCATGTAATCTGTTTTGGGAAGGATTACTCTGTTTCCTGTAGGAATCTCAGAACACAAAATCATAAATCAATCTGTAACTGTAAATATCCATACCAGAGTTCTGCTGTGTACCGTTAGTCGGCTGTTTTGACTGAGCAGTCATGCCTCATTCTTACAGGTAAAAACCTGTCTTTGCACTCTGACTTGTTTAAACTACTCGAGCTCTGTTCTGCCAGATCTGACTTCTGATATCCATATCCTTGGGACAGAAATGTTCTACATACAGTCTTGGGTTTTTTTTTTTCTCCATCTCCTCTTTGCAGTCTTCCATGACTCTAAGGCAGCAAACATGGGAAGCCAGCACGTTATTAGGCCAGTTACATTTGCTGTAAATTTGCTGCTTCTTCCAGCAGGTTTCTTTCAGTAGTTCAGAGCACTGTGTAAGGCAACCTCAGAGGAGGATTCCTGCACCATCACCCGTTCTCCCTTGATGTAGTTCAAGCAGGTGTCAAGACGTGAATTGCAGGCACTGTTGCCAGCAAGACACAACCTGGGCATGAGTGGAGTGTCAGCAAAGGCTTCCCAGTCAGAGAATACAGATGGAAATATGCAAGATGGAAATATCCTCTCCTTCCTCTGCTTTTTTTTTTTCTTGATATCTTTAGTGTTTTCCAAGTGCTGGTAGGAGTACTGATTTATTTACTGTTTTCCAGACTGCTTTCAACAACAAAATAATAATCTTGTCTGTTTTAAGAAACCTCATTGCAACGAGCACCAAAATTCTATTTGGAATGGTAAATATTTCAAGGCAAATGCCTATGAAACCGCTTCAAATATCCTTGAAAACAGATCTGAATATCAAAATACCACTCAAGGTGTGCAGCTAAACTAGATCATCTTAAAACAAGGATTCTCGTGGCAAACTTCATTCCCCACCTGTATTTCAGGTTCCAGAGAAACTGTGTCCTCATTTCTGTATGAATGTTCCAAGTTTATTTCATTTTACATTCTTACTGAGAGGAGTACAAGCACCGTCATGGAGACCATGGATTTTGAGGAAGCAGCCGTTTTCTCTGCCCAGAGTGCCCTTACTTCAGGCAGCAGGAAAGAACAACTCTTCCAATCTCCTTGGACTAACTGAGGCAGAATTAGAAGAACAGTTTGTAAGAGGTGATGGCCCAGGAGGTCAAGCCACAAATAAGACAAACAACTGTGTTGTCTTGAAGCATGTTCCATCTGGGATTGTCGTAAAGGTAATTTTATTGCATATTTTATTTCATTAAGTCACAAATTGCATCGGGTCTTTCAGGTCTCCTTTCACAGTAAAGCATAAGCACAGTGCAAATGTCACGGAGGAAGAGTTTCTGTGTATTTTAAAGAATCTCGTCAAGAAGCAGTTTGGGCTATCGGTAGATAAATAAACTTGGGGTCATAGCTGATCTTCCTGGCTTTGACATGCAGTACTATTTTGTAATTTTCAATAAAATGTATCTTCATTGTAGCTGCCTCTCGGTGGCAGCTGTCACATTGCTATCCCTCTTGTGAGTTAATGAGAATGGCTTCCTTAACAAGCTGACCATACTCACTTTGCATTCTTTTTAAGCATTACTCTTACCTACTTCTTGTGGATTAATACTTTGAAATTAATCTTTGCTTCCTTACCACAAGGGGAAGACACAGTTAAGTTAAACTCAGAAGATGCTTTCCAAGGTAATATGGAAGCAATCTTGTTCACTGACAGAATTAAAGATTAATGCAAAAGCCAGTCTGACAAGTTACAGTAGCAAATAATTATTAGGCAGCCTCTCCAAAATACATCACCTGGATACAAAAGTTCCAGCGGTTCTTGGTAGGAGGGTGCTCTTGGCTTGGGGGAGAGGGCAGTTTCTTTACTGTAATGGCAGGAATATGTAGACTGAAAGGGAAAGCAGAAGAATAAACAGGTTAAAGTTCCAGTAAAAATGTCCTATTGTATTTCTTCAGTGTCATCAAACAAGATCAGTGGAGAAGAACCGAAAGATAGCCAGAGAAATCCTGCAGGAAAAAGTTGACCTCTTCTACAAAGGTGAAGACAGTGATGTTTTTAAAGAGCAGAAAGCATCACAGAAGAAGAAGCAAGAGAAAAAAAGAAGAGCAAAGGAAAACCTAGAAAGGAAAAAGCATTTTAAAGAGATGCAACAACTGGATAAGAAATAAACACTTGCAATACTGACTGGCCCTAGCAGGGTAAGGGAAACGTTTGTCATTATACCTAAACACAGTTTTCAAACTAACAGATGATGTAGGGCTTCATAAGCACAACTGAAATATTGAGTAGTGACCTGCTATTACTGTAAAACCAAAGTGATAAAAGCAGTCATGTAGTCCTACTTCTGTCTGCCATCATCTCATTAATTACATTTAGCAATCGGTTTTTCTGCCAAGTTCAGAAGATGATAAACCAATCCTTGTTAAAAAGGAACTATAAACTTTCTACCATTGTTAATAGAGACAAAAAAAATTCAATAGATCTCCTTCTCCCTGGATGATATGTTACCTTCGTAGGCGTTGCAGTACATACAGAGAACAGCCCTAAAAGGTTGTAACTTTCCATCCTTACTCAGGCAGTGCCTCTACTGACATAAATCCTTTCTAAACAGCAACAAGGTTTAGGTACTGGTTCTGATGGTGTAAGCAGACACGCTGATAGAAGAGACACCAGTCGCTGGTTGCCTCCTTCACATCTGTTAGCTGAACAAATGCTCTGTCCTACTCGGTTCTGAATGAATAAACAGAATGAATAAACAAATCTTAGCTGGAGTGGTGATGAGCACTGAGGGAGGGAAGGCACTCCTGCAAGTGAAGGTTGGTCAGTCATGTTCTTCCGGTTCAAAGGTAAAGTTGGGTCTTTACACACAAAGAACAACATGTGTTGGAAGCTGCCTCCCAAGGCGACAGAATCCAGTTCATCCAAGCTATGAAGTAATTAACTTTGCCTCTTAATCCTGTATTTTCTTCAAGAATCCATAGCTCCATATGTATTGGATATCCCAGCTATCCCTTCTTCCTTAGGATTTAGATTTGATTGTATATTGTATTTGTATATTGTGAATTACAGTCATTTATGTTTATACTGTGCTGCAGTTAAGCTTGGGCATTTTGGTATCTTAATTCATTTTGACAGTTTCCCATTTTATGCAAATACATGCAGCTGCTTTTCCTTTGTTACTGTTACTTTGGAGCCGCTAGTGAGGTACACTTTCCTATTTTGATCCTGTTAAGAACTCTTAATTGCTTAACCAGAATTTCTCTTTGATTTTTGGACAGCATACTCACTGGCTGCCACCAAGTTCTCACCTTCAACAGTGAAGGGAGAGTGCTTCAAGAACCGAAGCCACAGTATGTATTTTGAAACCAGTGGAGACTACTAGCAACTGTACCACCTTCTTACAGAGATCGACTGCATCCGGACTGTACCATGGAAACTCTCCAGCAACCTGCAGGCCCCATTCCCTTGTCTGTTCCAGAACTTGAGCCTCCTGCACGAAGGTTAAATCTTTAATCTGTTGAGAGTTCTTGTTTGTGGAGTAGGAATCTGATTAAATTGACTATACATAGTTTTAATACAAACTGTTAATGAAAATAAGCTTTATTACATCAAGTAATAAATACATACAAAGATGCAAATAACAGTTTTAGTAATTTATCCAGAATTTCTTTTTTTGGCAAACTTTAAACTGAAATCTCCAGCCTTAATGTAGAAATTAGCTTTCCAGGACCTTGTTATTATTTAATAGGTTTCCCTATTTTCCATATAACTCATGCACTTTAAATGGACTTCAAAGCACTAACAGTCATGCAAATGTTTATGCAAAATGAACAAAAAAGGAAAAAGTAAGAGAAGGGGAAGGTTATTTCTAAGCAGGGTCTATGCTGTATGACAAATTGTGACTTAGCAGACTACTAGGTACAGCATGCTATTCTGCATTTATTAAAAAAAAAAATCCTTAGAGCTTATGTCAAACTTTGAAAGATTGACAGTTTGGGGTTAGGTGAATATAGTCAAAGGAAAAAACCAGAATGAGGCTGTGGCTGGATAGGAAGAGAACTGAAATATAGCCTGGGAGAAGAAAGAGCATTCCTCTGCATGCAGTTCAGTTTTCATGTTTTAGAAACATTTTAGGGAGTTTTAACGTCTTTACAAAATGCAAACCCTCAGTAAGTTGAAAAATCCTTGTTTTCTCATTCTTAACTATACATTTTTGTAAGGGCAAAACAAGAAAGGTAAAACATTCAAAATAAAGGAATTTGTCTGAACGTTTCAAGAGTCAAAAGGAATAAGTGTTACTTTTTCTTCATTAAGAGATGGAAAAATCTTGCAAGTGAATTAGTGGGCTAGGATCTTGCATTTCGTTCCGTCTCAGCCAAGCATTCTCGAACTAATCCTCTAGCATGAATAATGCCTGCAAAAGAATTGGACATATTTTAAATCACCTCATTCAGGTCACACTTGCAATGACAGTCCAGGGAAAGGTTTACGTATCTCTGTCCCGAGTTGCCAAGGCTACCACAGCATGCCTCAGAAAAGGGAGAGATCCCTCACTTCTCAAACGTCAGCTGCTGCTAAGCAAGTTTGCTTTCCCAAACTGGCATTATAAATTGAAAAGGGACTAAACCAAGACTTGGAGCATGGTAAGATTTGTAGGTCTGCAGTGACATGTATATCTCAATGTGCAGTTCAGGCCTGTTTAAAATCAGAGACTTAACAGAAAGAAAAAAAAAATTATCTTACCTACCTGTGAGTTATTTTGCTACAGTGGAGCGAACAAACCCACAAAGTTATTTGGGGAGTCATTTTAGCAAGCTCTAAAAGTCTTAATACCTTGGGATAGTTCTCTGAAAGTATGCATCAAAATCCAAGCCTTCATAATACTGCTTAAACACAAGTTGTGCCTCTTGTAAGATAAGAAATTTTTTATAGTGTGTGCATGAAGTTACCTCCTAACACTGGCTCAGCTCCCAGTGTAAATCATCACTGCTTTACATGCTGCCATATCTGCTCTCATCTGATAGACATAATGTGGAATTTTCCACTACAAGTCCTGTTGCCTTGAGTTCCAGCAATCTGGACCTTGATTCTTAATCCTGGAACTAAATCTAGAGTCATGTTCACAGAGCTGCTGAAAGAACAGAGCTTGAGACAGATTTTAAAATGAGATGGACAGATTTTTGTACAACAAACGAGGTTATATTTTACTGACAGGACAAGATAGAAGGCGATTTCTCTGCTCAATCATGCTCCTTAACAAGGTGGAGAAAGAACAATAAGGCAATAGATGAGGTTTAATCTTTATTTAAATGCATTCTGTTTCTAGAAGGCTGCTAGCCCAGATCACAGCAACAGCCTTTACAGCCAAGGAGTACTGACCTGGGACTTAACAGGTGCAAGGCTTTGCAGAGGGTTAAATTGACACAGCCAAGTAAAGCTGCATCCTGCAGCCACGGGATGCAGAAACGCATACTCAAAGCAGTGCATTAGACCTCGATCGGGTGGCAGGACGCCCAGTTTATGCAGCAGAACTACCCTGAATTATGTAGAACGCTGGGAATTTGGCCAGTTTTAGAGGTCAGCAGCCTCTGTGCTTAGGAGTGGGTGGAGCTGGGGACAGGGACTTTATTTGGGAATAACCTCCACATGGGCATGGAGGCTGCAGTCATGTGGTTACCCTCAATCACTTTTGCTGTCCCACTTGCACATGCTCCTTCAGCCATTAGGCTCCCAAAACGGAGAGAGAGGTGTGTTTGTGACCAAAAGGTGGCAGCAAAAAGTATTTATTTGGGATTCTTTGCAACACTGGCAAGTCACAGTGGCAGCATTGAATCTTAAACCTACGTTAGCCAACAAACTGAATACTCACTGCAAGAAGCAGGAAAACAACTTTTCCTCACCCAACTGAACCATTCAGTTTGGAGAACATCTGCATCTCTCCTGGTCTCTCTCAAGTTGTCCCCATTAGCCTATTGCCATTCATGATCTATTAATACTGACTCAGGCAATGCAATAAAGAGAGACTCCAGCAACATTGATTTTAGCTGGGCCAGATTCCACTTACCACTCATCAGCAGACTTTATTGCATCCTTTCCCAGAACAGCTACTAGTCATTTTATTGCATGTCATGGCAGATATATTACTCTCCCATAATGGCTGAGCCTTAAATAAAGCTTTGTAGTCTTGGGTAAATGTAAGGCGGATTTGCAAGGTGGTGAAGTTAGTCTGTTACAATAACATTCCGACTCAGGGTTGGATGCACGAGTCAAACTCAGCACAAGGACCAAGGAAAGGGAGGAAAAGGTAACTACATTATACTGGCAAAGGACAGAACTGCCAGCACAACTGCTGTCGATGGCCTTTCAGGGTCATTTCAGGAGCTGGAGCAGTGGAATGTCCCACTGCTCCTTCAGAAATATCCCTAGTGCGTCCCCTGCAGAGGACAATGTCAGGCTGATGTCAGCAGTGGGGCATGCGGGGGGTTTCTTTTACACTGCAAGGAAAGGGCATTTATTACCCCTTTTAGCTGACAAAGCAAAGCTAAAGAGACCTCATCAGCCGGGCCTAAAAGCTTCTATGTCCCTTACTAGTGGACTCTTAATGACATCCACTTGATGACAGGTAAGGGAGCCTAAGCAGCCCAACCCTCCAGAGAGAGGAGGAACATCTATGTTTGACATCTCAGTCTGAACAGCCTTCACTGACAACTTTTTATTTTTTTTTCCCCCAGCTCTTCTCTCCACCAACCTCTGTGAATTACCACAACGTAGTATTTCTTTAGGCAAAATGCACTTTAGTAAAGACTCTTGGGGTCAAGTGGATGGGTGATGTATATGAGAAAAAGTAAACAATGCTTGGTTGTATATTTTGGAGACTGGGGAGAAAAGGGAATTAAGGGGCAAGTAAGTCACCAGGAACTAAGAAGCACATACCCATTAGACACCTTAAGGGTTCTAAAGTAAGGTTTGAATTATTAACTGAAACTCCCCTTGTGCACATGAAACACATTTGGTCACTGGTTTATCTATCAAATACAGCATGAACAGAGTATCCCAAGGTTTCAGTTGCTTGTTAACACACCTAATTTAATGATGAGCTCAAGACAGCTGTCTCCGTTCAGAGGAAACAGTTGTCATGAAGCTGTTTACAAGTAGTCAGTGCACAAAGTGTATGTGACATTTTTTTTTTTTAAATAAATTCAAGCATTACCTCTTTTTAGCCTCTCCATCGCACTTTTACTCCCCGCGTATGTGGGTCTAATCTCTTTTCCTAATTCTTCTATGATAGCTAGAAGTTCTGCATATTTGCTTTGCGGTACTTGACTGCTGCTGGTACCCTGTAGTTGAAAGTAGATTAATCTCAAGTAAATACTGCTAAAAACAAAACAATTACAACAAACAGCAACTGGATATTCATGGAGGACCACAAATAGCTCTGGAAGCCACTTTTTAAAAAAATTAAATTTCAGGTTTGTTATATAAACGTGATTTTCTTTTTGCGGTTGCTGCTACAGTTGGACACAATGCTATGTGCCCTTCAAAAACTGGCATCAACTGGGAGGATGCAGCTGCAAGATTGGGACCTTTGGTGGGACACAAGTTAAAACAGTCCTGCAAGAACAGCAATCTGAGAACTGCTTATTTAACTCTCTCTCTTGCTTTTTCAGTGTTCAGGCGTACATTTTGTGGCGAAGTTAGCTAGGCAGGGAGAGTGAGAAGCAGATATAAACCCAACTGCCCACATGATAAGGGGAATCCTATGAAGTCAAATACATTTCACAGGAAGTTTACTGCCGGATTCCTGAAGGAGCCCATAGGACTGTCTGTGACACACACTTCATGAGACTAAATTTTAGAGTATAAATTTGCCAAAGAAAACCGGTATAGAAATATTCATTTTTTAACAAATAATTTTAAAATGTTTTGATAGTAAGGGCTCTAACATAACTCAAGACATGTTTGACTGTGACTCAGAAAGGATGGGACTAACAGTTAATTAGTAACCAATCTCACTCAGCACTCTACTTAGTCTAATTTGATCCCAAGACATGTGCGATGAATCAGTCTGCCATTTGGGTTTGATTTCAAATCTTGGTGGGAGGGAGGAACACCTCAGATTACAGGCCACAACCCATGCTACTATGCAAACGTAGGGTCAGTGATCTGATTAAAGAAAAACAACAAGCAGAGCTGTACCTGCATCCCTTGTGTATAGCCTAGAGATGGGGGTCCGTAGTCATTTATAAGCTGTCTGTATTGCGCAGATGTTGCCATACTTGTGGAGGGAGAGTGAACGCTCCCAGCTGTAAGAGAAAAGAAAAAAAAAAATCTGTTATTATGTAAAGATTAATTAGTCTGCCACTCTGGGACACATTTTAGATGACTTTTTGCTAAAGCTGTGACCTCTCACCTTTGTCTAAGCCCACTAATGCCATTTCAGAGTCACACGATTTGCTAGGAAGAGAATGGTTAAATCAACGTTTGCTGTACATTTGAAAATAGCATGGCCTGCAACATTATCAGTGCAAATCGTTTGCCTAGAAGTGAAACAGAGTGTAGCATGACAGGTTGTTCTGCCTAGACAAACTGTAAATATTAAGGAGCCCTATTTTTGCATATATACATTCCACATAGATGAGTCTAATGTACTGTGCTATTTTTACTTTTTCAGTGCAAGTTATCTGAAAGTAATTTTGCAACTCAAAGTGTTATCACATGGTCAATGCAAGTTACCCTCAGTACTATTTTTGGCCAATGCCAAAACTATTCATAGGGAACAGTCAGTTGAGGTATATCAGATCTACTGCTCATTGTATGACATCGGAGGCGAAGAGTTCTACCATTATCCCTCTTTGTGTGATATCAAATGTTTTTAGCCAGTCATACTGTGCTATATAAGTAAACCAAAGGAAAAATAACATCACTTCAGGTTACGGTTACTTTTTCTAAAGTTATACAAGATTATATTCAGATCTACAGGGGTTTGAGTCAACTAAGAGTTACAGAAACAGACTCTGATGCTGCCAAACTGCTCCAGAAATGAACAATCAGAACTCTCCTTTCCCCTCGCCCCCTTGGTAAGAATTTGGGTTTGAGAAACAACTTTTTGATTTTTCTTGGGGGGTTTAATTATGCTGCCCATTTCACAACCGTGTTAGAGGACCCGCTGGTTATGGACTGGGCCCTCAGGACGAAGGGAGCATTACACCATTTGACTGGTTCACTCCTGAAGCTGAAGTGCCCCTGCATCCACCGATGCTGCTGTCTTTGCCTGCAGGCACAGACACAGACTGCCTGCTGTCTGAAAAAATCTTCCCCCTTACAGACTCCTTTGCTGAAAATTCCCAACTGTCTTTCATATGAGGAACAGATCTCATTTACCAGCCTTCATTTAAATCTAAATTAAACTGATGCTAAAAGTCACTGGGGCTCTAGCTTTGTTTTAAAGTTGCAAGTGATTTCATTCATAGTTTCCCCCCTCTACAAAAAGAAAGTGCCAGCAGTTACACTGTAAAAAGCACTGCTGAACAGAGCAGAACAGACTCTTGTCCTCAGCTGGAAAGTCTCTTTCCAGTTCAGAGTTAATCACAGGATATGATTGTGGTGGTGTCTTCATTACAAGAATAGAGTGTGTTCTTAATTTTAATTAGTTAACCAGATGTGAAATCCTAAAAAAGGCAAATCGGGCTGGTCACTAGGTCACCTTAAAAAAAGCAAGATTTCTCTTTAATTAAGCTGCTAAATTCTATGGCATTACAATCTGCATTTCCGTTGCTAAGGTTTCACATGGAGCTAATTGTCACATTTTGCTAAAGCACAGTAAAAACCAAAAAAACCTAAACAACACACCCATAGAGTACGGCACTGTGAAGGAACACCACAGTTGTCAGCTACTGTCTCAATTAGTTCTTCACATTATCAGCTCAAAATACGTGCACAGTTGTAAGATTTCTGTATGTACAACTCAGTCAATATTTCAAGTCCAGATGACTGAATTTCAACAGTTATCAAACATGACACAACAGCAAACCGCATCTTTCCTCCAAGGACTTCAAAATGCTTCAAGAACATTAATGAGCCCCTTGTGCTGCAAGGTAAAAAAGGTTTAATTACCTCAATTAAGCAGAGAAAGACTTAAGCGATTTTTCCTCATGTACAATAAAACAAAAGACCCATCCTGCAAAGACTTGTTCCTGAACTGTTCCTGCAAGCAGTCACATACAAGACCTGGGAGCTCCAAACTGGTTGAGAATTAAGGCAAGGACTCCGATGACCAGGCTCAGGAATGCTGCTCTACCCACTGAGCAAACCTGAGCTGTGGCCCAGGCAAAACAAAAAACAATTTATCGCCACCATATTGGTTAACAATAATACAGTACGGATAATTTAGTGATTATTTCAGATTATGTTGATTTAAGCAACGACATGTGCTTGGTCTGTATGAAAGAACACAGCAGGGTATGTCTAGATAAGAAAGAAAACCCTACTAGAAACATGATGTGCCAAGACAAACCAGTGAATCTAGGGGCTGACCAAGAAAGTTTGACAGATGTGAAAGCCTGCAACATACGGCGTTGCAGCGGACAGTAGTTGGTCTCAGCATGGGAGCTTGAATCCAGCAGCGACTCCGTCAACGCTGGACTGACAAAAACAAACAAGAACTTTCAGTAGGCAACTATGAGTAAGAACCTGCCGCCGGAGTTGGAGCATCGCTCCCGATTTGAATTAGCAGTCAGATCAGTAGAGTCGCATTGCTTCAGCAGCCAGGGGTGCTGTATTGTCTACTGTACCCACGACATATGCAGAGCTGTGCTGCAGACACTAGAGGCCATTGCTGAGTACGGCATGCCCTGCCAAATGACAGATCGTGGTAACCATGGTGAGTTTACCCGTTTCTTTGCAGTCTGCATCAAAAATGTAATAAGACATAATGCCATGCGCCGACCACTTTATCAGCAGCAGCAGGCCCAGAGAACAAAGAAAAGGATTTGACTTGGCCATGGTACCAGCCTCCATACACCCATGTCAGAAGTTGTGCCAGTCAAACTCAGCTGGAGGGGGAAAAAAAAATGAAAAATCCTTGATTTCACCTCAATTTAAGATGATGCAGTCATGAAAATTAAATTAATTGTGGGGGTATTAGTATCTCACAGGGTAATGGACCTTGAGCTTTCTGACCTACCACTTTGTGTGTTAATCTCAAGGAGAAGCCCTGGGTCTTGGATGACTATTACTCAATTAACCCAAAATACATCTGCATGCCTGAACATCCTGTATATCTCAGATTAAAAAAAAAAAAAAAAAACCAACAAACCACCAGCTATTGCTATTACAGTTAGCAAGAAAAATTAGGCCAGGAAGTCTCACAGTCAATACCCAGTCAAAAATCAGTGTGATGATTAGGTATTCACTAGAGAGAGAGAAAAAGGAGGGGGGGAATCTAAATTGAGGCTTGCTCTCTCACGTTAAAATGACAATGGAGACAAGACAGTTAAGAATTGACAGAATCGAAAAGGGAGTGTGCTTGGTACTGAATTTAAGTAACACCCTGTATCACATTCCAAATGGTCTTAGTGCTTGCTGCTGTTTAAAACCTAAATTAATATACACACTTTCCTCCCTCCACTTTCCTAATTAAATGTACACAAAACCTTTTATATGCCCATTTATTCTTGTGCCAACAATGCCTTTTATTTCTGTATTCAAACAGAAGACTGCCAGAAGCATTTTTCCCCACAAAAATATAGTGATTTTCTTGTTAATCAATATTCATCTTTATTAATTGGGGGGGGGGGTCCTAACAATACAGCAAACAGAAATTAGATTTTTGTGTCAAAATCTCTTCCTTCCAGCAGTGTCTCTGAGCCCAAATTAACACCCTGGGAGACAAAGGATCTAGAATCAATCTTTGTTTGCCCCAACTCCCACTGACCAGGAATCTTCCCATTCATTTCTGATAGGTTTGTAGGGATCCCTTCAGCTCCTTTGCCACTGTCTCCGAGCCTGAGCAACGATACCAATTTGCTGATCTAAGTTTTAATTAATTCTGTTGCTGCTGCTTGCTGGAAAAATAACTGGGAAGGCAGCTTGCTGTGCACCCTGCAAGGAAGCAGTGGGAGCAGAAACACTGGGGTACACTCACATGATCCACTCCCAGCAGATGCCGTGGCATCTACACAGCTCAACTGCCACCCCGTTTTACTCTCACAAACAGCAACGTAAAATCAGGAATAGTTACTCTACTCACCAAGTTACTCATGTAGAACTGACTTAGACAAGCCAAGAGCCAACCCCATTAGATATGTGTTTCTCTACTACCCTGTACTGTGTAAGGTCCTATAAAACTGCATAGGTAAACTGCCATTTTACAAACTCTTTCCACGCAGGAACATGACAGTATCTAAGAGATACCTGTAGCCTGAAGTTTACCCAAGGTACATGGCATAAACCTGTGGAATCTCACTGCTTCTACCTCTATTTCACAGCCTCTTCAAGCTGAGGTTGCGTGCAACATAAAGGCTGTTGCCATTTAGATGGCTAGTGGTCATCACCTCTATATAGAGAGCCCGGTGCTGGAGGTTACTGCCTCTGCCACACAACCAGAGGACATTCCTCATCTGCTTCAGACGATGGCAGTTTGATTCCTGACAGTATGCGGTACAAGACAACCAGGCTAGACTATTTCAGCAGAGAGGATATAAATTCTACTGTCCTAAACCAGACAACTTTGCAAGAAAACACATGAGAAACGTCCACGTAAGCTGCTCTGCCAACGTACATTGCGAGGCATCTTCAAGCACAGGAGAGCGGTAACATCTTCAACTAGCACAGGTATTTCTGCAGTGAGTATCTGAATCACAGTTGTAGTGTTTTGGCTGACTACAGGAATATTTGATTCTTTAGCCCTTTATGCACTTTGGCTTAAGTTCAACAAGAACTCCTCGCCATCCATGGGACACCACATGCATGTCTACACAAGTAGATCTACTGCACAGTCAAGCCACACACTGAACTCTACAGGAGTTGCCAACCCAGAGTGAAAAAAACAAAGTCCCCATTTGCCCCAACATTCCAATATTTTTTTTTAGTTTAAAATAATAGACCCCATCCTCATTTGCACAAAACGTTCCTTACAGCACTGGCTGTGAAAGTTGTATTTTCATCCACTATTTCCCCCTTAAACAGCCCTTGTGGTAGAAACAGACCTTTCTTTGAATAAAACTATCTCCTTTTAAAAAAATCCAGTGCGCACACACATAAATATGTTCTCAAGAACTAGGACATTCTTTATCGTAACAGCCAGAGGCCTTGCTCTTTTGATCTGTCACAGTCTGGGCCTTTCCTCTAGTACCCTCATTCTATTTTATCTTTCCATGTGGATAACAGTCATGTTTTATGTCTCCTCTTCCTACTGCCCTGCCTTTTTTTTTTTTTTTTCAAATCAGAAAAACAAAAGACAGTCACTTGGACTCCCCACCATTCTTCTTTTCTAGCTTAAGACACAGAATATTTCTACACTAGCAAGTTACCTGGCACAAGATGAAAGCATTTGGTACATGTACACCGCATGTAGTTGGCTTGAGTGGGTACGACTTAAGCCTAGACTTTAGTCTGGTCCCCAAGACTAAGTGTCTGTATTGTGGGTATGGTTCAAAGCCATCCAATCTTTGGTTTGCACCCTTCTGTTCCCGTTAAGGGATGGAGCATCAGTGTTGCACAACTGGAGCAGAGCTTCTGGTTTACTTTTATCCAAAAGGAATCAAGTTAGCGTGAACCAAAACCACTCTGCAACTCAAACAACATGTGATGGGTGGGGACGGTGAGAAGATTTGCTGACTGTGAAAACCATACCATTGCTCTGAAGCTAAACACCCAGGTAGACAAAGCCAAAAATGCCAGTTTTCCAAATGTCCAAACAAGTCCACCTGAGAACTGCTAATTCTGAAACATGTTCAGTGTGCTTCTTTTCAGATAATTTTTAACTTCACATGGACTTCAAGAGATCAGGGAACCAGCAAATTTCAGTTTGAATCAGAGGGGGGAGTTATTTCCTAGAAATTATCCCCTCTGCTAAGGCATGAACACTTTGCTCTCTGCTCTGCCTAAAAACACTATTCTTTCCAGTACTCCCACTCCAAAAACAACCTCTCAATATGGACAACAATATCAAACATAAGCTGTCTCTGTAAAGGGCGACAAGCAAGCCATTTGCTCATCCAAGTCTGCATTGCAGGCTTAATAACACAAGGAATGGCCTAGCGTGCTTAGTATCATTTCTCAGGACTGAATGAAATCGGTCCCTCCAGTTGCAAGCTACAGCCCCAGCTAGGGAAATTATTTTCATTTCACCTCTCAGTGAGAATTTGCACTTTTCACCAAGAAACTTCTGGTTGCTGTGGGGTGCGGCAGGTGCGCTGACAGCCCTCTTGGTCCTCTGCTACAGCAGTACCTGTTGTACAGGTCACCACCTGTTCATGTGGGGCCAAGACGCAGCTCCTTCCCTTGTCACAGTCTGCTGGAATTTGTTTTTCCAGATCCTACATACAACAGTTTCTAAGCTTTGTTACAGCAACAGCGTTTGTCTTGAAACCTGACATTTCTGCAAGAATTAGAATAAAACCAAAGGAAAATCCCAAGCTGTTTCTGCTGGCTTCTGTGTCTTAAAACTACTTTTCTCTGACCTGCACGTGCTCTGAACAAAATAGGAATGCTGGTGAATATCCACAGAGCCAGAAAACACATGGAAACAAGGGAAAAGACAAACTACAGACCAGTTCACAGCTGGTGTAAATCTCTCTGGTTCCACTGAAGTCAACGGAGATGCTCTACTTCACCTCAGCTCAGCAGCTGGCCCTCTTAGAGAAAAATAAAGTTAAACAAAATGAAACACAAGACAGACAAGGAGGAAACTACTTCACAGGATTCAGTATGATAAGCAAGAGAACACAAACAAATCAAAACATGGCTGTTAGAAAGGGTAACAGAGGTTCCCCCGAGACACTGCAGGGGTAGGTGAGGCTGGGAAGGTAGAGCCACAGCACCGCAGGTCCCTACCAGAGCATCTTTTTACCACCCAGGCAGAGAAGGTGCTTGCGCAGGAGGTGAAGCAGGGCTCCCCAAGCACAATCTGGAACTGACAGCCTGGGGTGCTACACACAGGGGCCCAATTCCCAGAGCACAGGCCCTCCAGGAAGGCGACAGATAATTCCGACAAAGCACTGCAAGCCTGGTTGCAGACACCCTGGGCCAAGCGTCACCACCGACCTGGGCAACGGGGAAGAGGAATAGGCACCAAATTCTGCTGTAACAACACATTCTTCTTCCCTCAGCCTGGTGTAAGGCAGAGGAGTCAGCACCCGGATGCTTCCAGCATCCTGAGTCACTTGTGGAGCAGCTGCATTTTCCCCACCCGCAGTCATCCCCAGATCTGCTGACAACCCCCGGAGGCCTCCTCCCCGTATTTCCTTCCCCCCCAAACAGCTCCTCTCCCTCAGGACTTCAGTCCAGGTTTTTGAGTCCCCAGCATGCTCCCGCAAAAGAACAGAGCACAGTCACCCACCAACCGCCACTGCTTCATCTCACTGATCCACTTACTGAGTGCAGTTTAAACACGATTTTGCAGAGTGGCCACTCTCAGCCTAAACTTGAAAGGAGTTAGCTCTGCAGCAAGGACGCAGCTCCAGGAGCTGAGTCGACACTGCCTTTCCAAATACTCCTGCACCAGAAGCCCTGCACTGCAGGGAAGCAGCATTACCTCCCAGAGGAAAATCCCCGTGAGATCCACAGCTGGCCAGAGCCCTCCGTTGGCCGAGACCAAAATATTCAGCATTCATACAGAGAGGCTTCTGCAGGGCTGATTTCAGGCCAAAAGGGACAGATTTCCTGTTTTCCTCTCCTCTGCAGGACGGGGCGGAGGGGGGGGTCCTTCACCCCAGGTTTGGAAGCAAACCCAGGATTTCTACTCCTGGCTGGGGGGCATTTAATTTAAGCACAATAGAGAAGCAATCTCCTTCAACTCAGAATTAAGCTCCAGAAAGGAGGGGGCCATTTGCAGTCATATCACTCTGAATGCGATATGTGCAACTGCAAGGACTGCTTTGTCTAACTCCCTTGGCCTTAGGCCACGGTGCTGGCAATACCACTAGCTAGAGGAAGAGCTGGTGCGTGAGGATAATGGCAGAAGACAGGGAGGGAAGAGAGAGCCCATTTTGGATTCAGAGGAGGACGTTCTTTCATTGAAAAGATTCTGGGGGTGTTGAGGATGATCCGAACTCAGAAGAGAGGACAACTTAGACAGGAATAGTTCCAGCACGACAGCAAACTGCTGCTAACTTGCCATTAGGAGGAAAAAAGGAGCGGGGAGGGGGGAAGGGAAAGATAAAACTGCACTAAAGAATCCAAAACCCTGATCGCAGCCGGAGCGTTAGAAAGCAACACAGACACGGCAGCGAGAGGACTGGAGACAGAAACTTCACTGCTCGGCTCGCATTGTGAGCGGCATGTCTGACCCGGGATTTTGCAGTCCTCGCTCGCAGAGCAGCCAGACTCGGATCCCCCCCACAGCATGACCTAATCCCCACCCCTCACCCACCATCGCAAAATACCACCTTTGTTTTCCCTGCAATTTTACGGCTGTTCCGGAGAGCAAGGCACAGGTTCTCGTGGGAGCCGACAGGAGAACGGTTTCCCTTGCTGGGCTTTGTTTTGTTTCTTTTTTCCTCCGGTGACACTTCTGCTTTTTGTCAAAAAATCCTTAGCACATCCCCTGCTTCCTGACCCCTTGGCAGAGCAGCGCTCGGGCCCGCGGTGCTCCCCACACACAACCCAGGCACACCGAGCCTTTACACGCTCGCAGCCCCACCGAGCTCAGCTCCACGCAGGATCGAAGTGTCTGAGGCACAGGGACCTCGGTCCATCCACCGGCTGGTGACGATTCCTTGCAGTAAAATAAGATTGCCGCTCTCCTGGTAGCTAGAATAGAGGTGCATCTTGTTGATCCCTTGCGTTCAGCAGTCTCCCAGGATTACAACCACAAACGGCGCTGTAAAAATCACCGAGGCAGATTTCCCTCCCTCCTAAACCCAACTGCAAAACTTTCCCTTCTCAAAAAAAAAAAAAAAAAAAAAAAAAAACACAACCACACAACACAAAC